CCCGTCGCTGGCACAGCTCCATGGACCTTCCTTTTGAATCACCAGCCTGCTCCCTGCTCCTGGCTTCCTCCCCCTGTGCCACCTGCTGGGGACCAGATTAGCTCCACGGTCCTCGGAGCCCCCGGATTGCGGGGACCCGCCCTGTTCCTATCCTCCCGGCGCCCCCCCACCCCCGCCACCTAGGATGAGGATGCCGCTGGGCCTCAGTCTCCTCATCCGTGCTAGGGGAGCGCTGGTGCATGGGGCTCTGGGGTGTGGGGAGCCAGCACCCGTGAGTGAAGGGCGGCTGTTGGTCCCACCGCTACCTGCCCCCAGGCAGACCCAAGCTCCTGGGGGTCCTTCAGGTCCCGAGGGGCTGTTCCCTTGTTGGCGTGCTTAGGAAGTCACCCTACGTGTCCGCTCCCACCTTTGCCTTCAAGGTGGCAGCCGGAGGTCCAGGAGCTGATCAACCAGCTGCAGGGGGCGTTGACCAATCAGCCCCCTCTTCCAAAGACCAAGGCCAAGGTCACAGAGCCCAAGGAGTTCAACCTGACTGCCCCCAGGCCCCGCGCCATCCCAGTGCCTGAGCCAGTCCCCGTGGTGGCCAAGACCAGACCAGTAAGTGTGGCTGATCACAGTGGGCTTAGGGTGTCCAGGCAGGGAGAGTGGATGGTGTGGGTCAGTGGGGCTGGGCTTTTCCAGGGCTGAGGGTGCCCGGACCAGAGCAGGAGCGTTTGATCACCCTCCCCAGCCCCATCTCACCCCACAGAGAGGGAAGCCCAGCTGACCCAGAGCCTGCCCAGTGGAGTGGGTTCCTGCGCCCCACCTACTGAGGTCTGGTCAGTAAGCGTGGAGTGGAGCTGTTGGCTGCGGGGCGCAGGCCCGTCTGCACTTGGCACTCGGAGCCCGCTTTTAACCCTGTGGCAGTGTACCGCTCCCTCCCCACTGTGTATGTGCGTGTGCAGGTGGCGGTCTGCACTCCTCGGGCTGCGGGGGTGACCCTGTCCGCACCTCAGGGCCTCTGCCTGTCTGTCCCATCTGCCTGGGCTCTCTTCCTCTACCCCCCCCCCCCCCCGAAGAGACTCATCACCCCCAAAGGCTTCCTCCGGCCTCTTGGAGCCTCTCCCGTCTCCCCCCCCCCCCCCCCCCCCCCCCCCCCCCCGCCTCGCTGACTTCTGTCGGTCAGGATGCTTTGTATTACAAGTAACAGAAAAAAGCAGCTCAGTCTGGCTTAGACAACAGAGAACCAGCTGTGACTCTCATGGCCGAAGCAGGGTAGGCTTCAGGCACAGTTTGATCAGGGTTCCAGAGCTGCTTCTCTGTGACTCTCTTCGCCTAGTCCCCTCCGAGGGTCAACTTTATCTTTTGGGCTAACTTCCCTCATTGTAGCAAAACATCCAGGCCTCACACCCACACTACATCATCCGGGGCATGAGAGGACATCTAGGGCCCAGAATCCTGTGAAAGTGTGATTAGACCAACTTAGGTTGCATGTCTGCCCTTGAACTCATCACCGTGACTGGGAGTGTAACGTTCTGACCGGCCGTGGGCTCTACGCTGAACATCTGTGATGGACTCGGCTTCCCAGAACCAATCTGGTTCCCCAAAACAACTAAGCACTACATGGAGGGTAAGGGGATAGTGCTGGGAGGTCCCAAGGTCCCAGACCACTCCCACCACCTGTCAGGTCTCGTTACAGTCTCTGCCCAGAGAGGCCTTCCATGAACCCCTCGCCTATCAGGTCTCTCTTAATTTCCTTCTCATTGACCCAGATCCTTTTCTTCACGGCATCAATTAGATTTTAGAGTTGTTTAGTAATTTGTGGGTCTATTTATTATCTGTCTCTTTTATCAGACCTCATCCATCTTATTTTTCCCATACCCCCAGTGCCTGGCACAGTCCTGGCTCAGAGCAGACCCTTGGAAAATATCTGCCGGATGGATGGATGGATGGATGTGTGGATGGGTGGGTAGGTGGGAGAATGGATGAGTGGATGGGTGGACAAATGGATGGATGAGTGGATGATGGATGGATGAATAGATGGGTGTGTAGATGGGTTTATGGATGGACGGTGGATGGATGGGTGGTTGGGTGAGTAGGTGGGTGGATGATGGATGGATCGTGGGTAGGTGAGTGGATGGGTGATCACATGGATGGACGGATGGGCAGATGGACAGAAGGATGACGGATGGGCCTTGTTGCTGAGCAACCCCACAGTTACCCAATCTGTGGGAGCCTCAGCGTTTCTGACCCCAGGTTCTCTGGTCTAAGCGTGTTTACCTCATGTCATTTTACCACCTGCATCTCTCTCCCTCTCTGCCTGGCCCCTTCCCATCCCCTGCTCTGCTCCTTAGCTGCATGAGCTGTGAGATATTGGTGGACCGTCTCCTTCCGTGGGGTCCACAGATGGCTGTGCTGGAACCATAAGCTCGTCCCCTCCACACTCCCTGCCCTGCTCCGTGCCCAGGACCCTCTTTGCCTCCTGGGTTGAGGACTTATTCCAGGTCACTCATTCAACAAACGTGTCTGGATGCCCAGTATGTGCCAGGCACTGTGCCTTCATGGAGCATGTGTTCCAGTGAAAAAAAAGGATAAGTAAAATGTAAGGTGTGTCAGTTGGTGAAAAATGCCGAGGAGAAAAAATACCTCAGGGAAAGGAGATAAGAAGTGTTGGAGGGGCTGCATGGAGTTCTGGATGGCACGGCCAGGAAAGCCCTCCTGAGAAGCACCGTGGGGTAAAGAACAAGAAGTGAGCAAATGAGCCATGGGTTTGTCTGAGGGAAGAACATATCAGACAGAGCAAAGCCTATGCAAAGGCCCTGGGGCAGTGCCATCCCTCCCTCGAGGGTCAGGGGGCAGCCAGAAAGGGAAGGAGGGGATGGGAGGGGAGGTGTTCAGGGGGCAGAGAGACAGGATGTGGGCTCACAGGGTCCCTCTGGCTGTGGTGGCCGAGGAGGGAGGTGAGGGGTGGCCTTGAAGCAGGTGGGCAGTTTTTGAGGTGGACGTGGCTGTGAGAGACCGAGAGGGGTTGAGGAGGGCACCAAGGAGGACCCCCAGGCCTCGATGTGGGCCAGGGATGGACAGCAGTCAGGGTCAGCAAGGCTGGGGGAGGGGTGGGTTTTGGGGCAGACAAGGTTTCAGGTTTGGACGTGATGAGTTTCCTACGAACATTAGACGTGCAGGGGAGGGTACACGGAGTTAGGAGCCTGGAGTTCAGGGGCTTCCAGCGGGGCTCTACCCCACCCACGCTGTGGACACTGCTCCCCTCCAGGAGCCACCCTGCTGTCTCAGTGTTACTGCTGCAGCCCCTCACTTTTCTGGGGTCCGTGACACTCTCCCAGCCCTACCTGTCCCTCCAGCGTCTGCTGGGCCTGGGCCCTGTGCTTGGCCACCTTCCTTCCTGCTGCTGGCGTGGCGTCCCCCCCTATCCTCCTGGCGGGGGCACCAGCGTCCGCCCTCCTGGCCCTGGCACCTTCCTTCACCCACATCTAGCGGGCACTTCTACTCACCCCTCCAAAGTGCTGCGGCTCACCATGGGCTCTTCCCTCCACCGCGCCGCCAGGTCCCCGGGAGCACCTACCGGCCGCCCAAGGAGCAGCGGCTCCTGGAGACAACCAAGAGATACAATCGCCGCAAGGCTGAGGTGGGCCCCCTGTAGGCGGAGACCCCTGTGCGGGCGTCAGGGGCGAGAGGCAGCTGGGGAGGAGGCGAGGGGCGGCGCGGGGCGGGGCTGGGCCGTGCCTTTGCGGCCCGGGCCACCCGCGGTGGCCGGCGGGCTGGAGCTGCCTGTCTCTGCGCGCAGGAGCTGCTGCTGCGGGCCAGCGTCGAGGAGATGCGGTGCGCGCGGCCCAGGCCCCGCGGGGAGCCCCCGGTGGAGGTAACGCCAGCACACCCACAGCCTGGCCGGTCTTCCCGGCGGCCTCCTCTCACATCATAGACACGTCCCTCCCCGTGCCACGGCCGCGGCCACACTTCGAGGGCCACGGAGGGCCGGGGCCCAGCGCCGCCAGGCTGAGTGCGGCCGAGCGGGCAGGTGCATCGTCTCCTTCCCTGGGTGTCTCCAGATTTTCCACCCTGAGCACTTAGTGTTTCTGTGAGGAAAACCCCAGGGTGTGTTTGTCAATAAGGAAAGTCAGGGAGCAGGATAGGGAGGGCCCATTCTGGGTGGGTGCTGAGCGAGGCTCACTCAGGAGGAGCCGCCCGGCCCCGCCTCCCCGCTTGTTTGTTATCCGCCTGGGCGGCGGCGCACGGGGCGAGGTGAGCCCCCCAAGCAGTTGGGGCAGCCCAGGAGAGTGGGCACCCCACATAGTAGCAGCAGGCCCCGGGGGCTGATGGCTGAGGTCCTGTGGTGGGGAGCTATACCCGCTGCTCGCCCACCGTGGACGTGGTGGCCACCCTGAGGGTGTCTGCAGAGCAGCAGCGGCCTGGGCAGGGAGCAGCCCCGCGAAGGAACTGGGCGCGGCCCCGGGGACAGTGGAGGGGAAGCTCCAGCCCCCCGGCGGGGAAGTGCGGCCCCCGGCCCGTCAGGCTCTGCACCTTCCCTGCCCCTGGCTGGGTGGCCGGACGGCCTTGGAGGACAGAGGTGCTGCGGGGGACCCAGTGCAGGCGGCGGGCTGGGCTGGAACGCGTGGGTGGGCGGCTGGAGTTAGGACAGAGGGCAGTGCGCCAGGCCTCCCAGGGGTGCAGGGCCCCCCGCTCAGCCGGGATGTGTTTGGGGGCACCTTGTGGGCACAGATGCCAGGCCCTGACCCCCGTAGGACTCCAAGAAGAAGCTGCGGCTCCGATTTCCACCTCGAATCCTCCAGGCTCCGAAACTGACCTTCTACAGGGTGAGCGGTGCCCCTGACTGTCGGCTCGGGGCCTTGGCTCCAGGCCCCGCCCCCTTGGGACACACCTCCGGGCCTGTTCCCCTGAGGACAGCCCCGCCCTTGAGGCAGAAGGAAGCGCCGGGGAGGGGGCAAGAGGGCAGAGGGGCACTGGCTGCTCCGAGGCTCCCCTCCCCCATCACAGCCGGCCCCTACTCTCTCCTGCAGCCCAACGACGACTCCCCGGTCAAGCTGAACACTGCTGCCATCCTGCGAGAAGGGGCCTTATACCAGCGGCAGGTGGAGAGAGAGCTGCAGAGGTGGGGTGGCAGCTCCTTGGCCTCCCCTCCCCTCCCCTCCCCTCCGGGAGCTCAAGAGGGGCCGGCGCCTGGCAGCTGCAGTCCTGCAGAGGCGGCTTTGGATGGGGGGGACCCAAGCAGGCCAGTGTCAGGGTCACAGCTGCGTCCTAGGAAGATAATCTGCACTCAGTGAGGGAGATGGACTGGGTAGGAGGAGGCTTAGCAGAAGCCTGGCCCACCCCAAGGCTTTGGGTCTGAGGGGTCACCTTCTCCTGGGATCCCTTTCTGATGCTCCCTCCCCTACCAGCAGCGCTGCAGACCCCTGCACTTACCCCAAGAGTTGGGCTGCGGGTGGGAGCTTGGGTGGCTGACCAGATGGATGAGAGGATGGACAGACACACAGGTGGACCAGAGGGTGGCGGATGGACGGACAAGTGGGCAGGGGTGGCAGATGGACAGACAGGTGCGTCACACACGAGTGGATGGGGGCTGGAGATGTGGCTGGAGGGCGGACGCACAGGACCAGGACGGGTGGACAGTGTGTGGAGTGGGTGGCTGGTGTTGGTAGAGCGCGGCCCACGCCTGTGAAGGCCACTGCCCCCAGGGGAACTGTGGCCTCCTGGTGGCCCATGCAGCCCCACCACAGGAGACCCCCAGCCCCGCCTCTTGCCTTCTCTCCCCAGGGTGGATGAGCTCATGGACGGGGCCGGGGACCTCTCTGAGTTCCTCAAGTGGCAGAGGAAGATGCAGGCAAAGGACCTGGAGGAACAGCTGGCCACAGGCGAGTGCCGGAGGCTGCAGGGGAAGCTCAGCCACGAGGAGGCCATCCTGGCACGGCAGCAGGTGGTGCAGCAGAAGAAGCAGAAGGCAGACCAGAAGAAGGAGGAGGTGACGGGCAGGCCGGGCTGGCTGGGGCCGGGCTGGCTGGGGCCGGGCTGTTCCTGTGGTTGCCGCCCCCAGGCATTTCCTCCTAAAACCCACAGAGTGGAGGTGCTTCCTCTGACCCCATCTCACCAGGTGGGGCTTCTGGAAGCATCTGGGGTCAGCTGGCCTGCGTGGACTGTCTGGCCAGCACTTCTGGTCCAGACTGCCCCCCGCCCCCACTGGCACGGTCAGTTGGTCCGCACATCCACGTGTGAGGGAGGACCTGAGGTCGGGCAGAAACTTCCAGACGGCCAGCATGTTTGCATAAGATGCGAGAGGGTCTGTGGACACCCACGTTTCCACTTCGGATGCTCTGGACGTCAGTCCTGCTCTTCCTCCTCCTAGGACGGACGCCCTGGCCGGGGCCTCCCTGCCTGTGTTCCTTCCAGTGGGCCTGGCGGCGACCCAGATAAGGCGGGAGCCTGCAGGGCCCAGAGGCCCAGCCCTAGCCCCCTCTCCTTAGCTGTGTGCCTCTGAGGGCCGCCAGTCAGCAGATGTGCCCCAAGTTCCCGCGACTTACTTCTCCCGGCAGACGCGTCTGTATCTGCTCTTTGTGTTAGGGTTGGTTTTCCTTCCTTTTTAGCTCACTTCTTAAAGATACAAAGTCAAAACAATATGACACATAGCCTCAGAGAAGTCTTACTTGTTGTAAGTCTGTAACTTACAGCCCATTTCCACCTCTACCCCAAGTCCTTATTTTCATGAATTTCTGTCTTTCCTTCCAAGCAAGTATACACACTTCTTGTTTCCCCTTTACTTAACATAAAATGTCCCAGCCTGCTTTCCCGGCAATGAATAATGTTGTACAAGATTTTCCTCTTTGTGGAGGTGGCTTTTCGAGGTCCACTGCTAGAGGAGGGACTGCTCCGTCAGAGTAGCTGATGTGGAGGTTCTGTCTTGTTCTTGTGGCTGTTTTTGTTGGGGGTTTTGAGGTCTTATCAGAGATGCCACATCACCTTCCCTGGGCAGGAACTTCAAGGCCCCAGCATGGGGGGAAGGGGCCCAATCCCCCTGACCCACCCACAGAGGTTACTGTACTGAACTCAGGAATTTTTGCCAGTCTCAGAGGTGAGAAATAGTATCTTAGTACAGCTCTGATTTGCATTTGCGTCTAGGAACGGTGAATTTGAGGATGTTTTCATATAAGAGCCGCTTCTGTGTCTTTTTCTGTGAACCGTCTGTTCATGTCTTTTGTCATTTTCTTTTTTTTCCAGTTTTATTGGGGTATCATAGACAAGTGAAATTTGTATATATTTGAGGTGTATAATATGATATTTTGATATACATACACATCGTGGGATGATCGCCACAATCAAGCTAATTAACACATAGTTACGTTTTTGTGCATGTGGTGAGAACACAGATCTACTGTCTTAGCAAATTTAAAGTGTACAAAACATTATCGTTAACTCTAGTCACCATGCTGTATGTTAGGTCCCTAAAGCTTATTCATCTTCTAACTAAAAGTTTTTACCTTTTGACCAACATCTCCCCATTCCCCTCACCCCCAAGCCCCTGGTAACTACCATTCTACTCTTTGTTACTATGAATTCAATGTTTTTAGATTCCCACAGAAGTGAGATGAGACAATATTTGTCTTTTTTTTTTTTAATTTTTAATTTTAAATTTTTTTGCGGTATGCGGGCCTCTCACTGCTGTGGCCTCTCCCGTTGCGGAGCACAGGCTCCGGACGCGCAGGCTCAGTGGCCACGGCTCACAGGCCCAGCCGCTCCACGGCATGTGGGATCTTCCCGGACCAGGGCACGAACCCGCGTCCCCTGCATCAGCAGGCGGACTCTCAACCACTGCGCCACCAGGGAAGCCTCGGTATTTGTCTTTTTGCGTCTGGCTTATTTCACCCAGCATAATGTCCTCCGAGTTCATACGTGTTGCCACAAATGGCAGGATTTGCTTCTTTTTTAAGGCGGAATAATATTCCATTATGTACGTATAGCACATTTTCTTGATCCATTCATCTATCGCTGGACACGCAGGTTGTTTCCGTATCTTGGCTACCATGAATAATACTGCAATGAACATAGGAATGCAGATGTCTCTTCAACACAGTGACTTCATTTCCTTCAGATGTACCTCCAGAAGTGGGATTACTGGGTCATACGGAAGTTCCATTTTTTATGTTTTGAGGGACCTCCATACTGGTTTCCATCGTGGCTGCCTCAATTTACATTCCCACCAACAGTGCACAGGGTCCCTTTTCTTCATATCTTTGCCAACATTTGTTTTGCTATCTTTTGACTTTTTATGCTGGCCATCCTAGCAGGTGTGAGGTGGTATCTCGTTGTCACTTTGATTTACATTTCCCTGATGATCAGTGATGTGGAGCATCTTTTCGTATACCTGTTGGCTGTTTGTATGTCTTCTTTAGGAAAATGTTTGTTCATGTCCTTTGCCCATTTTTAAAATCAGGTTACTTTATTTTATTTTATTTTGCTATTGAGTTGTGCGAGTACCTTATATATTTTGGACATTAACCCCTTATTGGATATAGGATTTACAAATATTTTCTCCCATTCCATAGGTTGCCTTTTTATTTTGTTGATTCTTTCCTTTGCTATGCAGAAACTTTTTCATTTGTGTAGTCCCACTTGTGCTTTTGGTATCAAATCAAAAGTAAGTAAATAATCGCCAAGACCAAGGCCAAGAAGCTCTTCGCCTATGTTTTCTTCTAGGAGTCTTATGGTCTCAGGTCTTACATTTAAGCCTTTGATCCATTTTGAGTTGATTCTTGTGTGTGGTGTAAGATAGGGGCTCAGTTTCATTCTTTTGGGTCTGTATATCTGGCTCTTCCAACAACATTTATTGAAGAGACTATCCTTTCCCCATTGAGTTTTCTTGGTGCCTTGGTCAAAGATTAGTTGACCATGTCCATTTTCTGTTGAGCTTAGAGTTCTTTATATATTAAGGAAAGTAACCCTTTAACTATAGTATGTTGTTACAGATATTTTGTTCCAAGTACTCATTTGGCTGTGCTTAAATGATGTATTTTTGCCATGTAAATGTAATTTTTATGTCATCAAACTTATCAGTCTTTTCTTTCATTGTATCTGGATTTTGAATAATTAGGAAGGTTTTTCCCATACCCATGTTATCGAAGAGTTCACGCATGTTTTCTTCTAGTATTTGTGTGGTTTCATTTTTACATCTGGATCTCTATCCACTTGAAGTTTATTCTTGTACACGGTGTGAGATCTGGATCCACTTTATTCGTTTTCAGATGGCCACCCGGTTGAGTCTTCCAATCCATGAATGCGCTTTGTCTCTCCATTTATTTAAATCTTTTATTTCCTTCATCTGGTTATTTAGGTTTCTGTATGTAAGTCCTATACATACAGTTTTGTTAGATTTGCACCTAAGTATTTCTTTTATTATTTTTGAGTGGTTGTAAATGGTGCTGTATTTTTAATTTTGGTGGCCATGTGTTCAATCCTAGTAGGTAAAAATGCAATTGGTTTTGTGTGTTGTTTTTGTGTCCTGTGACCTTGCTGAACTCCCTTATTAGTTTTTCTAGGACAAACAAGGAATTTTGTTGTAGGTTGGGGTTTTGTTGGGGTTTGTTTGTTGGGGTTTTCTCCGTAGACAATCATGTAATCTGTAAATAAGAACAGTTTCATCTCTTCCTTTCTGTTCTCCCTATTTATTTCCTCTTCTGCCTGTTGCACTGACTAGAACATTTGTGCCTAGTTCACCATCTTGGCGGAAATCAGCCTTTCACCATTAAGTGTAACGTTAGATGTAGGTTTTTCTGTAGATGTGCTCTTTATTAGTTGATGAAGTTCCCCCCATTCCTATTATTCTGAAAGTTTTTTTTTTTTTTTAATATATTCTCTCTTTCTTTATTTTTGGCTGCATTGGGTCTTCGTTGCCACACGCAGGCTTTCTCTAGTTGCTGCGAGCAGAGGTTACTCTTCGTTGCAGTGTGTGGGCTTCTCACTGCGGTGGCTTCTCTTGTTGTGGAGCACGGGCTTTAGGCACGCGGGCTTCAGTAGTTGTGGCTTGCAGGCTCTAGAATGCAGGCTCACTAGTTATGGCGCACTGGCCCAGTTGCTCCACAGCATGTGGGATCTTCCTGGACCAGGGCTGGAACCCGTGTCCCCTGCATTGGCAGGCGGATTCTTAACCACTGCACCACCAGGGAAGCCCTCTGAAAGTTTTTATCAGGAAATTCTGCCAGATGCTTCTCTGTATCAACTGATACGGTCATGTGATTTTTCTTCATCAGCCTATTAATATGGTGGATTACACTGACTGAATTTCACATACTGAATCAGCTTCGCATCCCTAGAATAAACCCCACTTGATTATGGTGTATAATTCTTTTTATATATGTTGAATTCTATTTGCTACTATTTTGATTTTGTTAAAGTTGTTCTTGCATATAGTTTAGGCGGATTCTAACCACTGCACCACCAGGGAAGCCCTCTGAAAGTTTTTATCAGGAAATTCTGCCAGATGCTTCTCTGTATCAACTGATACGGTCATGTGATTTTTCTTCATCAGCCTATTAATATGGTGGATTACACTGACTGAATTTCACATACTGAATCAGCTTCGCATCCCTAGAATAAACCCCACTTGATTATGGTGTATAATTCTTTTTATATATGTTGAATTCTATTTGCTACTATTTTGATTTTGTTAAAGTTGTTCTTGCATATAGTTTCATAAGGGGTGTTAGTCCGTAGTTTTATTTTTTGTAATGTCTTTTGTCTGGTTTTGGTATCAGGTAATTCTACCTTCATAAAATGAATTTGGAAACATTTCCTCCTCTTATTTTCTAGGAAAGATTGTGTACAATTGGTATTAATTCTTTGAACATTTGGTAGGATTCTCTAGTGAAATCATCTAGGCTTGGAGGTTTCTTTTTTGACTTTTCAAAATTAGAAATTCAACTTCCTTACAAGTTATAGGGTTTTTCAAATGATCTGTTTCATATTGGGTAAGTT